TGGTCACTGAAAAGGTGATAAAACTTGAAAAACTGTCATAGAATGCATATCTATAAGACTATACTAGATACATAACTGATCTCCAAAGTTATTGCTCACAGTTTGGATTCTGGAGTACAGTCATAGCATTCAGCTACATTTCCAGAACCTCATTTCATGAGGGGGTGGGGGAAAAAAGGAGGCTGGTGAAGGACAATCAAAGATAAAGTCCCTGGTCCATCTGGTTGTTGCCGATTGCAATCCAGAGAAACTAGCTGTTCACATCCTCCCTTTACTGTCATAATAACAAGTCTGCTGGTGAACCAAATGTCAGACAAATGGCACAGAGTAATTGCAACCCCCCAAACCATTTGCACAGTTCGTTTTAAGATTGTCAAGTCAGGAGTCTTGGACCAACAGGTGTCTATGATGCAACCTTTCCCCTCACCATTCCTCAGCCAAAATTCTTCCCATTCTCTATTCCTAAAGGCATGATTACCTGTTGGCAGCATACTTTATGAAGTGGCCATTATTCATGTGTCAATATCTTTAATCAATCTGTTCAGATATATTATGACACATGTCTTGGGCAAGTGGGACTTGAACCCAGATAGTCTGGCCCAGAGGTAGGGACACTGGTAGTGTCACAGACACCTCCAGCATGTGCATCTCACCAGGAAGTGTGCTCTAGTCAAGGATAAAGGTAAAGAAAAAAACATTTCTTCTGAAGAAGGGTCCCGACCCGAAACATCAGTTTTCCTGTTCCTCTGATGCTGCCTGGCCTGCTGTGTTCCTCCAGCTCCACATTTTAACATACCAAGCTGATGTTTTTCAATCTAACGCAGGTATGCTGAAGCTAACTGTAATATCTGTACAGGCTTGGAGGTTAAAGCTGATTTTTTAGCCAAGGCACTTACTGGATAAATCTGTTGTTATCCAGCAAGAAAAGACAAATTAAATCACTGTTATATCATAAGCACTGACTTATTGTACAATGTATGCCAAGTGCAACTGTACAATACTCAATAATTATAGCATATGTGAATATATAAAATTTATACTTACTGCAATATTGTCTATTACTAAAGAAAATTTGAGCTTCATTCCTTACTTCAGGATTCTCCAAAATGCCACAATGAGGTGCTTTTGAAGTGTAGTCATTGATACAAAAAGGAACACCAACTTGCACAGCAAGCTGTCACAAACAAACAATCATCTCCTACACTGTGATTATGAGAAAATAATTTATCTTTGTGATAATGACTCTTAGGATAGGAGGAGGCAATGGCCTAATGGTATTATTGCTGGATTTTTAATCTAGAGACCCAGGCAATGTTTTGGGAACCTGGGTTCAAATCCTGCCATGGCAGAAGATGGAATTTGAATTCAATAAAAATCTGGAATTAAGAGTCCAATGACAACTAGGAATCCATTGCTGATTGTCACAAAAAAAATAATCTCACCTAGTTCAGTCACGCTACCATGCTTACCCGGCCTGGTCTAAAGGTGACTCCAGACCCACAAATGTGGTTGACTCTTAGCTTCTCTGAACAATTAGGGATGGGCAATAAATACTGGCCTAGTCAGTACTTGGTGAATGAATACTATTTTTAAAAAACTATGTAAAATCAGACAAGGTATTGGGATTATATTCCCTATTCTTCAAAACAATGGCATGGAAAGTTTTTGGTTTAAAAAGCTTCATCTAAAAGATAGCACTTCAGATAGTGCAATGCTTCATTAGTACTGTGATAAAGGGTCAGCCCAGATTTTTTATGCTTATGTCTCTACAGTAGAGCTTGAACCTATGACACTTGACTTGCAGACATCTTCTGGTCTGCTCATTATAAACCAAAGGACATACTACTCTACAGCAGCAGTGGTATCAAAGTGCGGCATGAATATCATTTGTTGCTTGTCAGCCTAACCCTGGATATTGTCCAGAGCTTGCTGTATTTGGACATGGACTAGTTCAGTATCCGAGGAGGTGTGAATGATGCTGAATACTGTACAGCCATCGGTGAACATCTGATTTCTGACCTCATGATAAAGGGAAAATCATCGATGAAATGACTGAAGTTGTTGGGCTAGGACACTACACTGGAATGCCTGCACAAATGTCTTGCAGCTGAGATGAATGATCCATAATAAACAACCATCTTCCTGCGTGCCAGGTATGACTCCAACCAGCAGAGAATCTTACCCGATTCCTATTGGTTCCAGTTTTGTTAGGGCTCTTTGATGCCACACTTGGTCAAATGCAGCCTTGATGTTAAGGGCAGCTACTCTCACCTCACATCTAGAATTCAGCTTTTTTACCCATGTTTGAACTAAGGCCGTAATGAAGTCAAGAGCCGGAGGAACCCAAACGGAATATCGCCGAACAGCTTTACCACAAAAAAGGTGCTATACAAATGCAGACTGTATTGTTGCTCAGCAGTGTCATCATCCTCCTCAGGAGGAATGTTTAACAGAGCCCTCCCAGCTTCCCCCTGCGCTATGGAGGGAATGGGTGCAGTGAGACCTTCACTCCAAGACAAAACCCTTTCTATGTTAAAATATATTCCTACAGGTTGTTTCATGTCCACAGCCAACTTGCAATTCTCTACATAATAGATGCAAAACATCAACAGAAACCAGTTTGGCCCAAGAAGAGCCAGTCTTCTAGATTCCCTCTCTCACCTGTGAACTCTGAATATGATACAGTTGTGATTCTGCAGTTTCAAAGGACAGTCTACCATTTTTTTCCTGGGGTCTGCTGATTTTAGTAATTGGAATCATTTACACAGGACTTGGAGCTTAGGAATGTGACAGCATGTTCTAACTCTTTATTCCTCTCAAAAAAGCCTTTCATCTACCCATCCCCCCCCCCCCTTAGTGCTCGTGATTAAACCGTACAGGCTTGATTTAAGTGAGTAACACAGCTGCCCTAATAGCTAGCAGCATATCCACTCATTTCAGTGGTTCTGAACCCTTTGTTACACTTGGATTGACTTACCCACCTTCAACCTCTGAAAGAGCTTGACTCAATTCGCTCTCAAACAACAGGCTTCTCTCTCCCACTGTGATGTATTGCGCTCTTTTACCAGTGATTCGGGGGGGGGGGTGATGTTGTTGGGAGGTGAGAGAAGAGAACATGAACACTATTTAGATATGAGCAAAGAGAGGGATAGAAGGGCCCCTTCTGTGAGAGGCCTACTGCAGTGTACTGTTGGGAGTTAACATCATAACTAAAAGTCTTAGGTCCCAGTATAGAGAGTGACCTTTGCTGCAGGCCTTCTTTCAAAGAGCAGGTATTTAGCACAGCTGGGATTGCATTCTTTAAAAGCATGCTAAGTTTCTGTCAGTGATTTCAATTAGAAGATAAAGAAAGAAAGAAGAGGATCGGAGTGGGGAAAGAAAATACAAGAGTGCTGAAGAGGCACAAGGAAGAATTCAAATCTCAGGGCTAAATTAGTTCCACATGCTTCTGATGGGCACTAAATTACAACATAAAAGAGAAAGACTTATGAAAGATTTTACTGTCTTAGATCAATCACTTCAAGTCGAGGAGTGTCAGTGACGTTCCTTTGTCCTTCCCTGTAGCCTTCTGAATGAAGACAACCATAGTCTTTTGGACTTTATCACTTTGTAATGAGTAATAGCCACATGTTTTGTACTTAAAATAGAATAGTCAAGACTGATTAGGCAAAGGACCTCCTTTTGAGGAGGAAAAACATCCTATTCCAAGAGTCACACACATCTGGAAATGGAAGCTGCAGTGAGCAGTCCTTTGAAACTTGTATTTTGCTCTTTCACATTACATCCATTTGCATTGCAATAAAACTCTTCCCTCCCCACTGCCATTTGAATTCTACCCAGAATGCTAGCCAACTGGTTGTAACCCCAAAGATGAATGTAATTAAATAAGGCACTCCTTTTTAAAAAAAAGGAGTTAAAATTCTTTCACATTTCAGCATAAAGTCGATAAGTTCTCTTATATACAGTTCATCTTAAGAAAACTGATTAAAATTGTTTTCCTGTGATTAAGCTTTTTTATAACATTGTGATAATTGTACCCAGATGGATTGACTGTTTCCCTGTTTTGCATCAGCTTGCCTACAAGCAGGGTTTAAATGGTGGTGGCCTCCACTCTATGTTCTGCAAAGACATTCCACAAGATGGCCAACATTCAAAGTGTTTTCAGCTGTCAGACACCACTTGCTGCATGACTTCAAGGAAACAGCTTGAAGCTTCCCACTCCATTCTTATCTCATATCTCAATGTCATACCACAGAAGTAAGCTTTATCTTTCTCTCTGCATTGTGTGTGGTATCAGTGCATCTCAGCAAAAAGTATCTAACCTGTGATCAGTTACCCAGTCACAAAGCATTGCTTCCTCCCTCTGTTTTCTATTACACATGCTCACATTCACAAAGGAAAAATTGGAATCGGAACATGAGTAAGTAGGTCCACACTGAGCCCAGGGCATCATTAAAATAAGACATAAAGCATTGCTGGCTGTTAAACTTGTTCCAAGGAAACACAGGAGCTTTTGATCTACATTTTTACTGAGATGATCCTTCCTATAATTTGGGAACATTGCAACACGCTGCAAGTTTACAATGTGATCATTCAACATCAGTAACTTAAAACAAACTTAGTTCTAACAACTTTTTTGTGCAAGTTCAACCTCAGAAGTGAATTCTTTGAGGACAGGAAACATGCAACCTGTCATCTGCTATTCACCACAGCTTTAAAGCAGGGGAAATATCCTTGATGTCTACAGAGGAGACTTAATGGGAGGCAGATGAATCCTCTTCAAGGAAAATCAAAAATGTTAACTGCCCTCAGAATGCTGGTTGGTTAGAGTTAACCCTCTCTCAGAGCAGACCTTCAGATCCATTGGGAATGTGAGCATTCATTACCGCAAAGGTCACAACCTCAAAAGGGACCCAGTGAGGCAGTAGCAGAGTGCAAGGCATTGCAGTACAATTGGGAAATATTAAGCAAAATAAGAAGAAAAGTAGCTGGGCGCTTACCCGTAACACTTGGCACTGCTGCCATCGGTGCACCTGACTGAAGAGCTGGCCCGGAGAGCGTTACCGCTTAGTCCCACTCCAGAGGGTAAATTCTTGTCTCGGAGGTCCGGGCAAATCCATTCCTCCTCTTCATTCAGCGTTGGCAAGTAAGCACAAACCACTTGTATACTCCCCAGCTCGGTGTTAGAGGCAAACAGAGCATTCTCTCCTCCGGACCTGATATACTGAAGGTAGATATCTGATGTCAGAAACATCTGGTAAGAATTTTCCTCCATTAAGGTCTGGATCTCGGTCTGGGCCTGGTCAAACATTGCTGAATCAATCTGCTGCTTCTTTATGGTGTCTTTGATGTAGGACCTGGTGGCTGGTTTCAGATGCCTGGAAACCGCGCTGTGCTCCACGTACCGCTTGTGGATCGCCTTCGCCACTCTCAGCGTTTTGGGCTCTCGGAGGTCCATCTGCCTGAAGCCATTGCAGGCGAACCAGAAATCCAAGGTGTCCACCGCTGCCTCCCTCTCCAGGAACCTGCGGAAGAGCTGCGCCCCATCCTGGTCTCCCAGAAGCGAGAGCAAAGACCGGGTCCACCTGGTGACCGGGGACTCCGGGCAGGCGCTGCCCTCAGCCTCTGCCTCCTCTCTCCTAGGGGCTGCGCTCACCGCTTTGGGCTTCAGGCTCGCTTT